TGCCAGCATTCGGAAAATAGAAAGCTTTCGTCAGGGAGGTGTCAAGACCACCGCTCAACGTCAAAAAACCTCTTGTGATGCCCTTGACATCTGTGACACCAAATTTGAACCGTTACGACTCTTTTTATGACTTGTACGACATGTAGTAAATAAAATTTGGGAAAAACAGACAAATACTACTACATTAAGAGCTTTTTGAGAGCAGCATGGTGTAATAAACTAATTTACCTTCTAACAAGCCGCTTACACGTCCTTTTCAAGAATTGAAATTGTTTAAGAGTAAACGCCTCCAAAGGTCACTCAGAAAATTGCAGTCGCTGGCTGGAACCCGCTCGCAGCTTTTTTTAAACGAAACAGCGAGATATATGGGGCTAATCAACTGTTCGCAGCTAAGTGCGAGGACATAGTGCAGGCCTTGATGGGGAAGGCGTCGGAGAAAATCGCGTTTTGGGTAAATAAAGTAGGGGCTAACACCGGGAGCATGTCACGATATTGTAAAAAGAACAAACACAAAACGAAAAAAATATTGTGGCAACAAAAAGAAAAGGATGTGAAGTAAAGGGTGAGATGAAGCTTGCAAAGAAAGTGGTAAAACTGCAGAAAGGTAGAGGAGAAGGAAAAGTGTGAGTGAACCAAAAGACCTGGTATACTAGGAACATACCCTTATGGGAAATCTTGTTCGAAGGCAAACGGGAGGTACCTTCAGCTAATTGAATTAGATGATCAGACAGATACTCATGACGAAGATTTCTAGGATAGCGAGAATAATCTTTTTGATTGATAAGTAAGAAATGGACCAGGTGATAAGCACAGGAAATTCCAGAGACATTGTGAATCAAGGGAACTTCGCCATTGAACTTGAAATCAAGTAATAGTCAGCACTATAATTTGGCGCAATCCAAGTATTACCTGAAAAAGAGCATCGTCACCCTCGACATTGACGATGAAGCTATTGACGCCTTCAGAAACGAGCTTCTCCATCTCCTTCCGTACTGCATCTGACCACTGTTGTATGAGAACCTATGAAGAATCATTTCAATACTCACGAAAAAAGAGAACTGTAATGGAAGTAGCAAAGAAGCTTTTTGAGTCACCCACCGATAGCCCGATGTTACAGAGTGACGAGGAAAGACCCTCCTTGACTCTGAAGAAGGAGGAGGTCAGGGATTCTCCTGTCCTGGGAGAAACTACGTCGATTACCTGAGATGTGAATAGGTAGTATTTTGATATTCAGTTAAATTTATTATTAGAATTATTAGGAGGCGGCCAGGATGAGATGAGATTAAACCTTAGTGTCTTGAGCGAGAAATTAAATTTCCTAAGAACCCTCTCCTACAAATTCCTATTGAGTTGCTACATTTAGTTTCACCGGAACCTCCCTTTCGTATGAGAACAAACGCGGCCTCATGATATTTCACGGAATTGCAGAAATTATTGGCTCACGGTAGCGGTGCCTCCAGCAATGGCAGCCTTACAGCCGGTTGCCAGATCATCGGCAGAGTCGTGGACACTCAGATAGGTGTAGACGTCGATACCGGCAGGAAGGAGCATTTTGCCCGCAGCTTCCAGAACTTCTGCATCTGCAGGGACCTCCAGCGATGGACCGACATTCCTAGAAATCGACAAATTTAAAATTCATCTTTTACTCCCATTCCGCTATTTTAGCCCCAATCGAGGCAAGGCCTGCCCTTCCGGACTACCAAGGACTTCTGTGAGAATATATTTTATGGTGAATCTGCCCCCAACCCCCTTAATTCGAGGTGAAAGCATGGAACAAGAAAAAAACAGGTGGTCCCTACGCCAGCCTTGTTTCCAAGTCAGATGCTAGTAATAACTAGCTCCTAATATGAGCTTCTGTCTTTTATCTGATTAGAGGCAAAGCCTCCAGAGACCTATCATTATTTCCATAACGTTCAGGTTAATAAGATCTGGCGCGGTGGCAAAACAACCCCACCCTGAAAGCTTACCCTTCCTCAGGCCCTACCATAACAGGCCATAAACTACAGATATGAAACCCATTAGGGAAGCTCGCACAGGAATCTGGCCACTTGGTGGGTCACGTGTGCACTCGCATAACTACGCTCACAAAAAAGTACTTTAGTGAGAAAATCATCATCCTCTTAACAAAAAAAAACAAGAAAAAAAGAAACTAGACATTGCTGGATGAATAAGTTGAGAAGTAAGGAAGGGCAAAAGATGAAGCCCAGACTGAAGAATGAATCCATGATATGGAGAAAGAAAAAATTATTGTTGACGTCTTCTTCATTTATCGGGTGATATAGCATTGTTACTAAAGAACCCCCAAAGCCACCAGGTTTAAATTGTTAAATCTACATTTAGTCATATATTCATAAATGAAATATGTATCCAAAAAAGGTGCTCGATTAAGTGCATGACGCCCCGATGGAAGTTTGACTATGCCCTCTTTCACGCGAAGCCCAACGTTCGCTAATCAGTAGGCTGACGCTAATTGAAAAAAGCTTCTGGAAACTCAACTTGTCTCAAAGAGAACAGCCGCATAGATTGTCTTACTTCGGTGAAAAAAGAAATCTAGAATTAGAAGAACAAGGAAAAGTATGTTGATCACTTCAGAAAGAGGAAGCTAAATGGAACCAGAAACACAAAACCATGTTTCAATCACTAAACTACTCAAGGCTCCATTCCTAATTCAGAAGAACGACGATAACACCTGCCCCTACAATACCACTCTCTTCCCCATTACAATTCCTTAACTGGAAAACTCCGAAAACTCCTTCCTACACTTCTTCTAATTTGCCATTTCTTGTTCTACAACCTTTGAACGAAACTCAACAGCAACAGAAACCTACATTAACTCGCTAATTCTTCAATTTACTATTATCCAATCCATCCTTTTTCGTTCCAAACTGTTACCAAATAAAAAGCCTATCTGTCGATGCCCATGAGTAACACGACGACAGTATTCACACAAATAATAGCCCGCATAGACAGATCGGTTCACACAATAACTTCTAACGGGAAGCCATGCTCGCTTGCGAAACACCAGCAATCGATTCTCGACGTACTTTAGATTGCATTCGTTTGACGTGGTGGGACATTCGAGGCTAATTCTCGAGCAAACGCTTGAAAAAACCAGTATTCTCCAAAAAAAAAGAGTCCTTTCGAATACATTTTCAAGAAAATTCAGATCCCTCAAATGTTTCTATGGTAGCCGCTGTAAATTGAAAAATGAAGTNAATAATAGCCCGCATAGACAGATCGGTTCACACAATAACTTCTAACGGGAAGCCATGCTCGCTTGCGAAACACCAGCAATCGATTCTCGACGTACTTTAGATTGCATTCGTTTGACGTGGTGGGACATTCGAGGCTAATTCTCGAGCAAACGCTTGAAAAAACCAGTATTCTCCAAAAAAAAAAGAGTCCTTTCGAATACATTTTCAAGAAAATTCAGATCCCTCAAATGTTTCTATGGTAGCCGCTGTAAATTGAAAAATGAAGTGGTAGCACTAGAAAACGAAAAACCGGTCACACTTAAATTCGTCGTCCATTTCGAAACTATTCATCCAGTTTTAATCATTGCAGTTATTCAATAGAAAACAAAAAGCGAATGGTTCTCAGTGACTTGACGTTCATGAAAAATTAATTTCGGATTGATGAAGGTCTTAAAACCAGTTTCTCTATTGGCTCAGGAAGAATTGATGAGTAATATTGGATGGGACCCGTCAGAAACAAAAACTGTTCGAGATCAATGTAAGTACACTCAAGTTCAATTAATCGGCAATCGCAATCGCGCTATTGAATCCAATTTCGCCACTGAGCCTTGTAGGTATTTCAGTGAGCCAATTCATGACGCTAGTGGGATGAAATATGAGGAACGATGATAGCTGTCAAGGTCGCGAACCACGAAATATCAAGGTGGCCAGACGATACTACTTGAAAATCTCGTAGAAACATTCGTCAAATTCTCGGAATTCACTGAGTGGAACAAGGTGAGCTGGAAGAAACAATTTCGAGGTAGACAGGAGGTTCAAGCAATTAGATCGCTATAGGTATTTCAACCCGGGCGGAATGAAAGACTAGATTAGTTGACCATTTGCAGAGCAAGTCAGGAATCAAACGCGCCTATCTCTTTCATGAAGCCCCTAGTATCAACCCTAGGATATTACACCTGTGATAGAGACAGATTAATAGGAAATTTGTTCATCTGATTAATTTTTTCCACGAATCTTGGCACTGTTCTAGGCAATGCAACGTTCGCAGAATGTACTCTGAAAAGTGCTAAAGCTTAAGAGTGGCATCGAAAAAAAGATGAAATTACTCTCAAGCTCCTTAGATTGATATGAGTTATTGAGTCGAGACATTCGCTTCTCTCATCGTCACTAATCGAGTAAATCGTGTCGGAAGAACTTGGAATGCATGTACTTCCTACAGCAATCGCTATGTTATTCCTGCTCCAGTATCTACCACATCAAAACTCTAGTATGACTTTGTAACTTAATTGCTTTCTTCACTTTGTAAAAAATCTTTGCGAAATAGTTTAATTTTTGAATTCCCTCCCAAAAACGATTCCAACTTGGGTGAGCTTTGGGTAGGCCTGGAGAATGCACTAGTCTGAATCTCGTTTTGAAACGCAAGGTATTTCACATATAGCAGATGTCCGTTATGCGACACTACATTTTACGCCTCGACGCCGAGGTGGAAAAAATTCAGCACTGAACGCCTTCTGCTGTTCATGTCAAACCAGTCCGCTAGTTCAGGCCGCCATCTGTTTCGAGTAAGATCCACACGCACATCCCTAATGGCCCGATCCAGCGCGACATCATCGATCGAAAACAGGCATGAATACATAAACGACTCGCCTCTTGGCGTCATCATAGCAGCAGAGCGTAAAATGAGCGAAAATCTCCGAAGTCGTTAAAAAATCGTCACTCAACCTCACAGCAGGGTCGCCAGGTGCGCAAACAAAGTCGCGAATTTCACCCGATGAAAGAACGGATCGATTTCGCAACTACTCGTGGAACAAGGGCAATGAAACATCAAAACCATTGATTTGCAAACAAAAAATTCTGCTTCCACAGCTACTCACCACCTGATGAAATACATCTCTCCCAGAGAATTCTCTTGTAGACAAAGAACAACATTACAATCACGCCCAAGATAAACTATGAAGCCAATACTTAGCTTATGAATCAGTAACGCCGTTTTGAAAGTTTTGCTCTGAGCATTAGTCACTATGAATACATCACACACCTCATCTGATAATTGTTTCAAACTGGCTTGGGAAAGAGAGATTGAAGAGAGAAAGCAGAAAAGGCATAGAAAACCTGTTCGAAGTGACAAATTAATGATGGTTTGACCAATGAATATGATTTACCTGATGACACCGTCCTGGATAATGACGTCAGCAAAGAAAACGGAATCGTCGTTGACAACCTGCGCTCCTCGAATGATCAGCGACATGCCGCCACCGCCGCTTGCGCCTTCTGCGGAGGCCGCCTCCTCTGCGTCTTTCGTGGCGGCAGAGCTTTCGCCGTCTGCCTCTGACTGCAAGTCGCCGTCGGTGGTCCGTCCCTTGACCGCTTCCGACTCGCTGCTGCCTAAGCTTGTTGCCTCCTAAATCGTCTCATCGGTTGCAAACCACAATTAAATTAAAATCTCGTGACAAAATTGTTACAACTCCTCAAAAACTGTGACATTCGTCCATGGCAGATGATTGGTACGCAGAGAAAAGGTATGGGTAAACAACGCTGGGCAGTCGGTAGTCACAGGGTCGGCATCGCACTTTCGTGGATCGGATTACATCTATTTTAAGGAAACCTAGCCCTCTGAGAAACCTCTGCGTGGTAACGAATATGGAGAGAGTGATGGATAAAAACCAATTTGAAAAACTAGATCCCTCCAACTATCAGGTAGGTTAGTAACCGCCGGTAAACCGTCGAACTGCTCGCTCGGTTCCCTCCTTTACTAATTCGATTGCAGATTATATGGTAAACACGCGACGACAAACGCTACACCATGCTAAATACTCAAAGCTCATACGTTGGAGGTACTGGTAATGTATACGCTATGCATATGCTGTAAAGCGTACTTTGGGAAACAAGCTACGGCTCAAATAATAAATCTCCCCTGCTTGACTAGCCTAGCGTTGAGGTAAAAACTTTAGCCAACTATTTATTATCCAGCCCGCATAGTGAGGCATAAGAACAGTAGACAAGCACTTAGGCTGAATACCATCATCTACTGGGCTCCTTTTATACTTGGCGTACCAGTGCTGGTTGCCCGACAGACAAAGAACGAAATAATAATAAACGCTCCGCATTTCGACTAGTCTGGCGCCAACGTAAAAACCATTCGTTAATTGCTATACAACCCATATGGTGGGGCGGTGTAAAAAAGGGAACCAGCTCTGCTATATACTGTTATATCATCTTTTATACTAGGCGGATTGTCGCCGTTTGCTCATCTAAAACATGAGCATGTTTTTTATCGCCTTTGAGCGTCGCCTTGCCTCGCTTCTGCAGGCTACAATCACTGAATGCTACAGTTCCGTACATCGCTGCACTCTTTTGATAGGACTCTTACAATCGTAACAAAAAACTGTCAGCAGTGATGCAGGTGCAGCTGGCATTTCGTAGGAACCAGTCTGTTATTAGACAGTGCCATTAAAGGATAATAAAAGTCTTGGGGCGTTAAATAATCCCGTCTGTAGGATGTATCCACGCATGCGGCTCCATTCAGAAACGTAGTGGAGTGTGGAATACTATACAATGACTTGCGGTGGCCACCCGATGTACAAGTCACTGTCTTTATCCTTCCAGACAAGTCTGGTACGAGTTAACCCTAGCCGGAGGCTTGGTTGGCCTAGGCGGATTTCGATCCGGGATTCGAAGGCAGTGTTAGTAGGTGAGGCGAAACCTACTCAGCAACTATGAAACTTATGGTTAGTACTCGAATCTCAAAGCATTGCATTCCTCTCAATTGGGATACGATTTCACATAAGAACACATTTTAAATTATTGTGCTTGCACGGATGGATTTTCTTGAAAGGTTTCTCAACACAGTGGCTTAATTTACACAAGCAGAACCCTTTTCCAGAGCAACTCTTTTGTAAGCGCCCAATATGTCGCTTATAAATACTTTGTCCTTTACCAACACAACGAGCTCAGCCGTGAATGAATGAAAGTGCTTACCTCCTCTGACATCCCCCACTTACTACGATGCCCCTCACCAAGGAATTTTCAGCGAATGTTATAAAAGGTTCATACGAATGGCTGCGATAGACAGCTGTCACTTCCTTTTTTTTTNTTTTTTTTTGATCTCGGGATCTTTTCACACTTTTCCTTTTGGAAGAAAAATAGAACTGGAGATACAGCTGAACACACAAGCCAACCTTTACGGAATTTCCGTTCGCAAAGTTCCTGCCCTGCACTAAAAATTTTTCCTATAAGAGACGTAAAGGCTAACCTCATCGTCACCAAGATCAGGTCCTGGCTCACTCTCCATCATCCTTTGCTTTTCCTCTTCGGACAGCACTGGCGTCCCTAGCACATCCTCCTTCGCTTCCTTCCAGTCATCTCCCAATTTGGGCGTCTCCCGCTCAGCTACACTGGCGGATTCTGCGGATGTTGCTGAGTCGATAGATTGTTCTGCAGAACGTGATTTTCAAGAGCGATGATCGAAAATGTTGGTGGCAAATTCTACTTACCCAAACTAGGTGCGCTACTAGAATCTTCGAAATTTTCAGGGCCAGGGAGGGTGATCTGGTCAAAATGGCTAGTTGTCGAACGCCAATTCCCACGTTTTCGCGCTCGTTCGTAAGCCTGGAAGAAAGTGACTTATGGTCCCACTAATCGCCAAATAGGACGAATTAATCTATCTCCGAGAAGAAAACGCCTTGCACCGCTCAGCGCAGTAAATCACCTGGCCATGATCTTCGATTTCTGTAAAGAAGGGAGCCTTTACAGGTGGGAACTTCACAGTCTCCCATTCAGAAAATTCTTGTAGTTCTTTCTCGAGTACATTCTTTCTGTGGAAATTACGGGACTCCTTCATTTGCGGGATTTGATCGAAAACGGATGATGTGCCGAAAGACGAGCCTCCTCCAAATAGTTCCTGGAATTTAAGTGGCTAAGAACGAGCGATAATTGTAGTTAAAAAAGGCTATCTCCACCATCATCGCCGAAGATGTTTCCAGTCCCTTATTACGATGGCGTGAAATTGGTGGCGCTTCTTGCAATGGTGGCGGGATGGGCGAAGTTTTTGCAGAACGAGCTGACGTAGGCTGAAATGTTCCGCATGTTCTTAAAAATATGAGACCGTAACCCAGAAAATCACTGATTCGAAACGCGCGCCGATGAGTCGTACTCTAAGGCACACCGGGTACTACAAACATTGACACTAAAAAGGTGGGAATTTAGACTAAGAAGAAGTATCATTAGAAAGAAAGAGGTCGCATTTACGCTCTAATATTGTGAAAATCCCAACTGAGTCGCTTATTTATGCTGCGCGTCTTCAAGAATGTGAGGGAAGTAACACTTAGCGGAAACAGAAACATCTAGCGCATGGGATGACAGGTGTACATATCAGGGTTACTACACGGAAGTCGCTTCACCGGTGAATTGAGCGTGGTGTGCCAACCGCTCTTTTCATCTCTTCCCTGTACCAACATTTTCACCCGCAGAGTTGAATAACGGAAGAAGGAAGCACATTACAAAAATTCAGAAAATACCTGCGAAATTAGATGTGGGGACCTTGATTTATTCCTGCTAGTAGGTCGTGGCGAGACAGCGCTCGGCTTTTTCGCTGAAACTCTAACTTTCAAATTAGGAGGAGAGTGCAAGGAGAACAAACTGATTACATGGGTGGTAAAAGGAATACCTGAAGCCAAACGCGGGGCAGAAATCGCAGACGACTCCACATAGCGTTCCGGTATTTCGGAGTAAAATTGGATGCCGATAAAGCACTCCGATTGAAGTCTTAGTTGCCTTCTGCAATGTAAAAGCTCAAATTTCATGAGCTCAAATATTGGGTCCGAATAACAATTAAAAAATGAGGTTTCGACCAGCTTCGTTCATTTTACGTAATTTCTTACTAATGCAGGCGAAAAATTTGTTCAGACCTGCAATCACCAATTAGCCATGAGTCCGACTGCATTTTTAATGTAGTGGAACACCTGGCTACACCGAACACATCTTTCCAAAAAGCTCATTTGAGGTAACTGGTTTTTGACCACAAGATCGACAAAAGACAATAGGCAATCTGTCACGAACCGTCGTAAACGCGTGCAGGACTGTCCAGCCGTCTCCGGTAACCCTAAGGCGAGTAGGAGGGAACCAAAAAGGAATAGGTAAGAGAAAATGTTTTTTGAGACTACTTTACTTCTGATGTTCGAAACAAAAACCCCTGACAACCAGTACCAATGGTGATTTTAAAGCCTATCGAGACACTTGGAACTCCATAAAAATTTGCACAACCGCACATGCAACGTTCGCTGCAGTAGCACATGCTGTCGAGTGGAGGGTAGTTTTGAAAAAGCTCAGACAAAGTTACAACGTGATCCATCTTTCGTTTCCACGACTTGACATATACATCTCACAAGTGATTTGGTGCTCCATCATTCTGACGATGAAGCTCAGTGGGAATGAGCTGGTCCACCTCGTAACGTGACGCAGATAATAGCCGCCTACGATGTAGAAGGGAAAATTTATGACAACCAGTTTCCGAATCTTTGAGAGTCTATTTGTTCGGACAAAACTAGAAATTGATAATCTAGAAATGAAGGAGTACGAACTGGGACATCTGACACAACATTACAGCGCATGCAATAAAAACACAAACAACGAAGAGACAAAAACTATTTGTCTGCTTCAAGCAACCAGTATTCTGGAATTATCGTATCAATCTAAATT